CATTCGTACAGCTATAAAATAATATGCATTCAATTCTAATAAGGTTGTTTCATGAGCAATGATTTTTATTTATTGCAGATATACATTTTTTATAGAGCAATGACATTTTTGTGTGGGTGTGTTGTATTGTTGTGTGCTGTAATGTGTGCCGTTTCTTATAGACCACATGACAGAAAAAATAAAGTTGCATAGTTTTAATCCTTAAAACATATTGGGCCTACATTTGGTTTCATCTTTAAGAAACAATTACATCTTCTTAAACTTTTTACAACTGCTTAAAAATTGCAAGCACAAATTTTCTTTATATATGCAGTATATATATATAAAGGATTAAAATAATATCTCCACATAATTTTATGTTGATCATCGTCTAAGGAGAAAAATATAAGACTGTGAAATTAATAGGAGTTAGCTCAGAGAAATTGTGAAATAGATTATAATTAAAAAAGAGCTACATCTCAGATTCTACAAAGATAAATTTGGGTGTTAAATATCAGTTAGTTCATGAGGAATTAGGACAGGGCTGAACAAACTGGTAGGCGGCATTGCTTAGAGAGAAGCATCTAAACTCTGAACAAACAGCACTAAATTACGACGGAATTAAAGTAAGTGTTTTGGTCATAGCACATGGCACTATATCTGTAGAAAATCCAACAGCTCATACGTGCAGACAGCTTGTTCCAACAGTCAGTCTTGGGGATGAAAGCATAATAATATGGGCTTGGTTTTCAGACTGAGCACATGTGAAGGGTAACTGGATAAAGAAAAAATTTATATTTCTCTTCACAAGTAGTATTTACATACCGTCTCCCTTATTGTTAAATATGTTCAAATTGTGGAATTTGTTGTGTGCTTTTTACTCTGTGGTTAAGAGTTGAATAATACTAAAAATATTTTAATCTAAAACCTTACAGAACGGATATTGTTTTTTTTATCTATATAAAAACAGATGTCTTAGGTTAAGAAAAAAATGAATGGGAAAAACCCATTTTAAAAATTACACAGCTTCCTACGGCGGACGAGGGACTTTGAATATGCTGCATTATATTACAGCATATTCAAAAGTTCCCGGAACCACAAACATTTGACCAGTAAACACGAAGATGAGGCTTACACACACACCGAAAAAAAAAAATGCTGCAAAGGAGAAAAGCTAATATCACACAAAGCAGAAAACAGCAACGCTTAAACATATTACAAGTACAAAATATGCTGCAAATACATAATTTATACTAGCACATGCAAAGAAAAAAATACTGAAAGTAACAAAAACAATTTCAAAGTAAGAAAAGCCACAAAATAGGACCAAATTATATTATTGGTGGAGACTGTCATTTATTTATATGGAACCTGACTCTTTGCAAAGACATAAACGGAAGTTCAAAAATGGAGTAAAAAGATACAAAGAAAAACTTACTTCCTTACCTGAATGGCCTCCCAATTATTTTTTTCTAAGAGTCTGGGCCATAGATATTTATTCATAGTAATGTTTAAGTACCATTCTTATAGTTGATGATAATCTCCGAAGCTCTTCTGTTATACTTCCCCAGTTTGCAGCTTTTTTAACTTGTAGTTTTTTGCCTCTCGCAATTATGCTAGCATATTTTTTTTTGTGTTTGCTAGTCTAACATTGTAGTTTGCAGGACCTTTTGAATTTACTGTGAAATTGTGTATTTGCACTGCATTTGCAACTGTTGTTCACCATAGGTTTCTCATTCCTTCATCTCATTTCAAAGAAGTCTACATTTGCCCTTCAAAGTGCTTTCTTCCTCCAACCTGATGTAAGTGACGGAGGAGAAGGATGTGAGCGGAGCAGAAGCAGCAAGCACCAATGAAACAAAGAAAAACAATGCATTTTAGTCTGTAATTTTAGATTATTATGCAATTTCATATCATCACCTCTCCCAATTAAAGCATCAGTCCCTATTACAGCTTATGACACATTTATCAATTCTGTGCACCTATGATATCTATTCAAATGATCTAAGCTAAGTTATTTTCAATATGCTTTTAAAGTTCTCCACCATGTTTTTTTTTTTTTTTTGTTTCTCTACACATATTTAATGATCCTTGCACTAAGTTTATATTACTATCCAACCAGGAAAAAACTTTTGGAAAATGTTACCCCTGACCTTAAGATGCAAAACTATAAAAAAGGGGGATTTAAACTACACATAGATTCAAAATAAGCAACTTAGAATATATCTTTCGGTGTGGCTCGTTACATTTTACCTTTAAATAGATATTAACCATGAAGTACATTTTATTGAGCTCACATTTCTGTATTATTTATATAAATTTGTTTAATGTTATATTTCAATAGTAAATCTTTTGTTACTAGACATAAGCAAAAGAAATCATCTTAATTAGGAGCCTTAAAGGCTTGAATGCAGCCTGGGCATAATCTACATGATGTGCTTCTGAAATTAGTGAATTTTTTATATTCTAATTACATATGACTGTAGCTATATGGCGTATGCATCTTTCTAGCATGCGTCACCATTTGTGTAATTACTTTTGCCCTTTTTTGACATTGTTATATGTTGCTTTTAGGTGGAAATCCATGACATCAAACTGAACAGCTCTAAAGCATCAATTAACAAGTCAATAGAGCAAAACAACGATTATGGTGTCAGATTATGAAAGTATTAATGTTTTTATAAATGTCTCGCTAAATCCTTGGCACTGTCTTCTGTTTTGCTTTCTGCACAACACTGCAAGAGTACTAAAGCTTATGCCTGGCAGAGAAAACATGTTGAGCAATTTTACTTGCTATTAGGCATTTTCGAACATTTTGTCCACTTGTAAATCCCACCGCTACCATCTGCTCTGTCACCAGTGATCATTGCAAACAAACAGGAATAATAACTTGTCCAGAACAGCCACAGAAAACATTCCCTTTCCCACACCCCTATACTTTGCTCTTATTTAGGAATATTCCCATTATCTTCATCCCGCCTTTCAATTTTTACCTGCCAGTCTTTCTCAGATTTACTTTTGTGTCTCTTGGTCTCATTTCTACTGCTGATTATAGCTTTTCAACATTGACAGATGTGTTTTAATGCATCACAGGTTTAGAGCTAGAGCACAAAAGGTTGATCTCCAAAGGTCAGAGGTGAGTTATGAACATTCTGACTTTAAATTAGATATTGTATGTTTCGAATTGCTTTCTCAAACTCCTGTATTGGCCTGTTTGTGTATAACTTTGAGGCCAAAGCTACACATCTTGAGCATTTCTGTGCACCGTCTGGAAAAGTAATCATGCTCTGAGATTATTTTGTAAAAATACAAACATAAATTTCAGTGGATTTTGTTGGGCTTTCATATGATCTATCAAAAAAAAGAAAATAAATACATACTGTAAAATGGATAAATAATAATACATGTATGTCAATCCATTTAAACAATAGGGTGGTGTTCATTTCTTTTAAACTGATTTGGGCATTAATGTAATCCATCCAAATTTCCTTCAAACATCTCCTGAATAATGGGGTTCCTTATCCCATCTGTAAATGCGTTGCAGCTTAATGTCACAGATATTCACATTTAGTTCTGGCCTTATTGAGTACCCACTCTGGTCCCCAGCGTGCCAAGGATGCCGTGCATATGTTGTGCCGTTGGATGTGATAAAAAAGGTGACCCAAAAATGTATTTTTATTGATTACCAAAAGAGAAGGAACATGGTTAGAGATGGCTGTCTATAAGTGGCCATCTATGCAGTGTAGATTTCTTATCAGGTGAGTTTCAAAATAAGTCATGAGAGTTGGCTTAACTGTTCCTAACTGGGTTTAAGGTATTATACAATTTTCCAGAAAATTACGTGATTAGATCCCACTGATTAGACAATTTGTGAAAGAAGTGCACTGGATATTAAGATCTAAAGATTTTGCTACAGACATTATAGTTGAAAAAAAAAAAAAAGGATTGCAAATGAGCTATGGATTCACTTTACAGCCAAACCATGACCCCAAACATGCAGCAGAAGCTGCAACAGAGTAGTGTGGGTTAAAACATATAGTCATATGCTACAATGGATCAGTCACAGTATAGAACTAAATCAATCCAATGATATAAAAAGAGTCAAATGTTGATGTGCACTGCATCATCCCTGCTATCTACCTAAAACGGATACACTTTACAAAGAATAAGATATCCTAAATTACATTTTTGCCACAAAAAATAAATCTCAGGAAGTACAAAATATAACTGTACAACTAAAGTTTCAGATAGATAGCAATCTTAAGAAATTTTAAGTGCCCCCTTTGACATTTATTAGCTTGACTAAATATTTATTTCAGATTTCTCATTTACATTTCTTCCAAGGCTAAATTAACATTTCAGACATCCAAAGTAACATTCTTCCCTGTTGAATATGCTGTTGAATATGCTTGAATATGCTGTTGTTAAAAAAAAAGTATATATATTAAAAATATATATAAATGCAAATCTAATTTTTTTTTTTACAAACAAAATTTACAGTAAAAGTGTACTCAAAACTGGTATTTTAAAATGTAATGCAAAATATGGCAGCCGCCTGAAACGGTATTGCTGTGTATAATTTTAATAAATAAAGAAATGACTGGATCTAAATGCTGGATTAGCATCATTTGTCTGGTATCTGATCAAGTTAATTAGTCAATATATGATCCTATATTCAATCCGGCTGACAGATCAGTTCATCTCCATTAATGCTCCTTAATTTTTCTGTTGAGACTCATTCCTTGTTGCATTTTCAGATGAGCATATTAAAACATATACATGGGATTGTGCATGAAGCTTTCAGTTTGTTTTAAATAAAACCTTGAAACCAGGCTTTCTTTTAACACATTAAAGTTTAAATTTATTTTGTGTTAATCAATAAAACTCCAACCGAATACATTAAAGTCTTTTTGTAAAGGGAAAACTATCTGAAAACCATAAAAGGTTGTTAATGCATTTTCAATACACTCAAGTTATTCTTATATCCACATGAAAAGCAATTACCTAGGAGAATAACTCACCTGCTTTATTGTTTCATCTTTGGTATCTTTTCTCTGATGTGTTCAATCCCACACCCCTGGCTGTCTATGCTTCCACATTTCTGCACCTTGGATAGAATAAGAAAACAAACACAGTCAGTGGTTAAGAATTCATCAAAACACATCCAAACATTCATTGAGTCCCTCCCTCCTTGTACATAATGTGCTGGTCCATGTGCCATGTGCTCATGCTGTGCTGTTGCTCCCTGCTCTCTTTTCTGCACTCGCTTCAGAATGCACCACATGTGTTTCATTACTGGTGAAATGCTTGGGAATGGGGCACGGTATAATTCTTCAAAAGGCACATTTATGAAATATTGTCTGCTTCTCCACTGAACCAAGGAAGAAAATCACAGATGAAATATCTTAAGTAAAGATATTAAAATATGTATTATCAGTTAAGTGCTTAATTTTGTTTTAATAAAAAAAAAAAAAAAAAAAAAAAAATATATATATATATATATATATATATATATATATATATATATATATATATATATATATATATATATATATATATATATATATATATATATTGAACTAACTTGATCCTAAAACCCCGCCTTCTTGGAGAGCTCTAAACAGAAACAGGAGGAGGGAGGGGTGTGCAGAATTTAAGCCTATTTTCACTTGCTTAAATCTAGCATGTCAACTCCTTGAGGCACTCTGAAAAAGAGAATGAAAGGCAGCCTTTGTCTCGGTGCAGTGACTCCTCACTGCTGAAAGCAGAGCAAGCAGATTGCATTTACCTTCTACTTCCTACAGTTTTTATCAATGGCCTGTCCTCTTGATTTCCTCTGCTCACAATTCAAGCTTACACAACCTGACGTCGGTTCTGATTTTGTCTTTATAGCAAAAAAAATCACAGCAAGCCAAGCAATGTGAGAGAAAAAAAAGCAAACCTGCAAATAATGACGCTCTAAGTAAATGAGGTCGAGTGAAAGTGAGAATTACAGAATATGCTATGAGAGTGCCAATTAGTTTAGTGTGGGGGGCACAGAACAGATGGTGGTCTGCCTAATTCACGCCAGGTGGAACAGGTTGCATACACACATATGCACACAAAGTATCTCACAGGTCAGAGGGAGGTTAGCAGTATTCCAGTGGGCACTGTTGTTATGACAGACATTAAAGAGATAAAAAAAAAAAATTATAGGTCAGGTCATTTAAAGTACTGCAAAATACAAAAAAAAAAAAAAAAAGAATCAACACAAACAAGAACAACAAGAAAAAAGACGCCCTACTGCGGGTACACAAATATTAATGCTTGATGCAAGTTAGTTGAGAATTACGTCCTCCAAGATATAATTTCATAACCACTATACTGTTGCTTAGCGTCGTGTACATATGAACTTTCTGTCGCATTAAGCATAGGAAGTACTGCTGCATGTTTTTGTTCATCTCAGAAAAGACACAACTATGCTAAAGCAAAACATTTTAGGCATAGCTGAAATGCTGAACAGGTTTAGATCATGCTTTTATAACTAGATGAAAGAAGTCAAGGGTTGAACAGCTTGTCATTTTAAGATGCTCTTATTTCCATCTTTCCAACTGCTAAAGCTGGATATTCAGATCTTTTAGAGAGGTATCCTGTATTTGACATCTGTTGAAAACACCAAAGGGTCAGGGCTTGGAGTTAGAAATAGAGAACAAAAATATTTGCCTATTTTTTTAAAGTACACTAAAAATGGCTATGAGGCGTCATGATGATTAATTACCCACCAGTATTTCAATGAAGTCTCAAAATTAAAAAGAAACTGAAAAAGCAGATGAATGTTAGGGTACACAAACTCTCTTTGCACCTTTCAGTCCAGATTATGTTCACCACATGGTTTCCATAAATGAATAATTTGACATTTTCCGTTATTGCCTCAATGTTGCAGGATTGGGGAATATTCTGGAAACCAATTTTGGATTGAAAGAACAATCAAGCTGCTATGCTCTTCCTCTCTAAATCTTCTTTCTACCCATCCTCCACAGTGCTATAGTGAATAATATCACACATCCACTTGCTATACAGTCCCTTGCAAAAGTATTTGTCATGAGGGCAGAGGTCAATATTCCACCAGGACAATCACCCAAAACAGCTAAAGCACGACTTGAGTAGTCTATAGAAAAATTACATGTGCTAGAAGCAGTTATGCATAAAGAGTTTTTATGTTATTCTGTCCCATTTTTTGTTTACTAAGCAATACATGAGACATCTATAAAGGCTTGCTCCATAAATATAATTATGTGGACATCAAAAATTCCAATAGGGAGGGGAGGGCCCTTCTCAAGCTATTGCATATACAAGCGGTTTCAGTATCTACACTGTTAGTTTCAGACTTACTTCATCCAAATGGTTCCCAGCTTATCTTTGACAAGAGAAGGTTTGGTGAGGACCTGTTCTGTATAAAGAGGTGCATGTAACAGAGCATGGCATCTTACTTAATTTAACTTACGACAGCACGCTTTGTGCATATCTTGGGTAGTTTGAGAAAAGAACAAAATCATGAACATTACTGCTCCTTCTCCTCCTGTTTTTCTCTTCATTGATATAAGACTTAGCTTTGTATTTTATCATTAAAACGGTATACCGTAGGTAAAATATGAAGGTACACCGTTTCAAGACAGGCGTCCTCTTTTCTGCTGTGAATGGCTGGCAGGTAAAGGGTGCTAATGACCAGTTTACACCTTTAGTTACTTGGAGCCAAAAGTATAGAGATCTGCTACTACTAGTTCTTGATCTTTGGTCTTCAAAAGATCTTACACAGACAGAAGAGTACAGAAAGTACTATGGAGAGGCCAAAGCCAGGGGGAAGTTATATTACCTGTGAAAATGTGTATTGAAATCCTACCCTGGTTTACCTCACAGTTCTTAAACGCCTCAGGCTTATATCTGTCAGTTGGTATTGGAGCGCCTTTGGCTTCTCCAAGAGGAGTTGGAGGAGGTGCCTGGGGACAGTGAAGTATCTCTGCTCAACCTGCTGCCCCTGTGACCCAGAAACGCGTTGGACAACATAAACTTTGCAGCCATACATAAAAAATTACACAAAACATTATTTTGCAAACAAGTGAAACTGTAAAAATGAATGAAAAGCCGGTTAAATAATGGTTTAACATAGAGTGTGCTTTCAGTGAATTGATACATAACCAAGGCATACACTAACACAACTACAGAATACCCACTATTGGCACAAAAATCGTTTATACAAAATTCTAAATGTTCCTTTCATTATGTTGTAAAAGTAAATTTGTGTGTGTGTTTTGTTTTTATAAAATCAGAGATTTAGCTGCACCTGTAAGTTCACAGCGGTGTCTACCTGCTTTTTAAATAATTTATCTGTGCTCAATTATTTACAAGAAAAAATGATTGACCTGTCCTAAAAAAAGAGAAACTTGTAAAAAGGAAGTGGAAACAGATAGAAGAAATGAATTAATTCTCTCCACGGAAGAAAAAAATAAAATAAAAAATCAACTTTCATATGCTTCAGAGCGATACAGAAATAGCTTCCTCTGTAGTCCTGAATCTCTCAGAGCTCAATCAATGGGCTAAGCGATACATAAAAGATGAGGCTGTGTTTGACCTAAGCATGGAGGTGGAGAGAGGGGAAGTGTACTGCTGAGCCTGGACCGAAGGAGACGGCAATTTAGACTCTATCGTGGGATCCTTTGAAGTTTTGGCAGCTGAGGAAGGGCTGTGGATCAGGCTGTATGCCCCGCTGCATTAACCCCCTCAAGCTACAGCTATGCTTGCACTAAGTCAGCAACAGCACCAGTTGGCTGCCTGCCTACCCAGCATAATGCATAATCCCCACTTTTGTGTTGCACATGTCCATTATACAAAACCATGATTTAAACTTCAGCAGCGATCATCACAGCAACATAATTTCACACCACTATGGGCCGGATCTATCAAAGGTTTGCGTGTATAAAAACGTGAGCTATTTCACTGCGCACGCTAAAAAATGTACAAACTGATCTATCAACAGCGTGCTAAAAGGATTTGGTCTTAAATAGCGCCTCTTATCCATTTAGTACTTTTTCTGCAATGAATATGCAATATGGGGCGTTTACACGCAAAAGTGCGTCTTGTGGGAGGAGAACATGTAAATATATTAATTTAGTACTCGCAAAGTGATTTATTAAACCTAAAAACAATGTTGCTAACGGTATCTGACTCTATATTTAACACGTTTCAAAAGAAGGTGCAAATGGTCTGTAGGCCTATGCGTAATTGCGCACACATGGCAGCGGTTATTGTCGCAAGAAGGAGACATCGAAATGAAGCAAGGAGACGCAGAGAACGCATTTTTTCACTCCGTGTGAATACTTTTGGAATGAACGAGGAAACGATCATCAAAACATATCGTTTATCCACCATTGCCATTTTGGGGGAACTCAGAATGGATTTGGAGCCAGCCACAAGGAGGACCCACGCAATACCTACCAGATATCACAAAACTCCTTGCAACGTTGCACTTTTTTTCATCTGGGTCATTCCAGCGTACGGTTGCAGCGAGAGCTGGGATCTCCCAATCTCGTTTTTCAGAAGTGCTGTCCGACGGGGTCGGGGTTCTCTCACTGCGCCTGTGGAGCAACATGCCAATGCTGCGGGGATGCGTAATCTCATCCACAGTCACTTCTTGTGAGCCATTTGGTATGTGCATTTTTCTACAGGCCAATACAAAACACCTGTTTTTTTGTTGTTGTTTTTTTTTTACTGCAGTGAAGTAGAAATTCAGCCACATACCACCTTAGGGAATAAAGGTTGCCAAAGTTTTTTCTTTATATAGCTACCACTGTAAGATTTAAATTTCTTAATGCACTAGTTTGTAGAAACTACAAACTACTTTGCCGCAAACCACAAAACGCGCAAAACCATCATTTAAATAGGGCGTCTCCAACAGTTTTGCACCTGCCACCAGTTACGCAATCGCTCTTGTTAAATCACCCGCAAACCATGGTCCAGCCCCTCGCGCAAAATTCCAGTTTGCGAGCGCAAATTACTGCACGCAAAATTGGATCTTGATAAATCCGGCCCTATGTGTCAAGCCTCATGCTGATGCTCATTTTTGGAAGTAGA